TATGGTGTTCGGCTTGGTTCGGGTATTTTCCCATGTCATTGTAGTTCTTTTAAAGTTGTAGCAACGTTTCAGCAGAATCTCATCTGCCATCATCAGGCTTCTGTATTGTGTCCGTCTGTGGTTCAGACTTTTAAAGTGGTTTCAGATTTAAATTTGGGGCAGCCTATTGCTGTGCCAGAATGGTTTTTTCTTCATCCTGATTGGTTGGGAGTCTTGGTCTGTGTTTATTGGTCTCGGAGTTTGCTGTGTTCTGCTTGATGGGTGTCTCTGATATCTTCTGTCTGTTTTTTGGCTCTTTTTGTATCTTGATTGGCTGGCAGCATTGTGTTACTTTAATGGAGGCCTTTAGTGCAGCTTGGCTTCGGGTAAATGGACGGCTATCATTAGTTAGGAAGCTGGGTTTCATCTGGGTGCCTGGTTGGGGTGTGTTTGAGCTGGAGGTATCAGGGGGGATCTGTTTGTGCCCAGGTGTTTGCCTGGCTTGTGGTGTGGAGATTTTTTTGTTTGTGAGTGCAGGCTTCCAAATGATTGACAGCCTGGTGGAATCATCTCTTCTGTTCATGCTTTCTGGTCTTTTTTCAATCTCCATGGCTTCTCTGATGACTCTGTGGCTAGGGTTTTCCATAGTGGCCAGGGTTTTGGTGCCATTGAAGTTGATGCTATGACCTGTAGCTTCCATGTGTTGGACTAGTGAGGAAGTGTGTTCCAGCTTTTTGACTGCATTTTTGTGTTCATCCAGGCGGGTACTTATTCTTCTATTGGTCTGTCCAATGTATGTGGCCGGGCATGATGCACAGGGGACTTCGTATATGCCTTGGTTTTCCAGGTCAATTTTATCTTTGGGGTTGCTAAGGATGGCTGCTATTTTTCTGTCTGTTTTGAAGGCAGTCCTGATGTGATGTCTGTGTAGTACCTTACTAATTTTGTCTGTAGTACCTCTTATGTAGGGCAGGACAGCTGTTCCATAGGTCTGTTCATCTTCTGGGTCTCTATTATGTTTCAGTGTGTTTTTGTGGATCAAGCTGGTGATTTTGCTTTTGTGGAAGCCGTTGGCTGTCAGTACTTTAGTCAGGGTGCATAGTTCAGTCTTAATGTGTGTCTTGTCTGCCAGGCGTTTGGTTCTGGTAATTAGTGTTTTAGCCACGGAGTTTATCTGTGCTGGGTGGTGGTGGGATTGGGCGTTGAGGTAGCGGTTGGTGTGTGTTGTCTTCTGGTATATGGTGTGTCCTAGTGTGCCATCTGTTTTTTTGTAGATTAGTACATCTAGGAATGGTAGTTGTTTGTTTGTTTCTGTTTCCATGGTGAACTTGATTTTGGGGTGTGCGCTGTTTAGGTGTGTTAGGAAATTGTTTAGGTTTTCTTGTCCATGGGGCCAAATCACGAATGTGTCATCGATGTATCTTAACCATAGTTTGGGTTTGAGGATGGCATTGGCCAGGGCTCTGGATTCGAATTCTTCCATGAACAGGTTAGCAATGACAGGTGACAGTGGTGATCCCATGGGGGCTCCTTCTATTTGTTTGTATCTTTGTCCTTTGTATATGAAATATGTGTTGGTTAAGCAGTGTTCTGTTAGTTCCATGAGGTGTTTGGCTGGTTGGTATTTATTTTTGATGATTTCAAGGGTCTCTTTTATCGGGACTTGAGTGAATAGGGAAACCATGTCAAAACTTACAAGCAGATCTTCTTGCTCCACGTGTAGATCTTTGATCATTTCCAAGAAGTGGTATGAGTTTTGTACATGGGAAGCTGCTGTTTCAGCATGGGGCTGTAGCTCTTTTGCTAGGTGCTAGCTAAACAGAAGCCTGATGATGGCAGATGAGATTCTGCTGAAACATTGCTACAACTTTAAAAGAACTACAATGACGTGGGAAAATACCCGAACCAAGCCGAACACC